CGAGTTGTCCAGGGAGCCGCCCGGCTTCCCGATGCACTTCCGGAAGCACTTGTCCGTCATCCTCTGTGGGGACAGGGACAGGCCTCAGCCGCCGGCCGCTCACCCCGTCGCCCCCCTCTCCCCACCACCGCACCCCGGCCCGCCGCGCGGCCCGCACCTGCAGCAGCTCCTGGGCGTTGGCCACGGCGATCTGCACCTTCACCTGCTCCATGATGAGCCCGGGGTCCAGCTTACCGCCGCTGGAGCCCCCGAAGTCCGAGCCGAAGCTGCTCTCCATGGCTCCTCAGAGTCAGCGAGACCGAGGCGGCGCGCTCCGACCCCTGGTCGCTCCGGAAGCCGGCCTCCCGGGGCACCACGGGAAACGGAGTCCTGCACGCTGAGGGCGGAGCAACTACAACTCCCACAACACCGTGCGGCCAGGCCGCTACGGGTCCCGAGAGGGCCATTCCGCGCAGGCAGGAGCCCGCCGTGGCCGGCGGGAGGGTTTCCCAGGTTGCGAGCAGAACAGGGGTGTCTCGACGGCGAGGGCGCGGCCCGAGGGGGGTGAAGCTTGCGGCCCCGTCCGGTCCCGGCGATTCGCCACGCTCGGGCCCCGGCCCCCCGGTGACGTCGCGTTGCGCGTGCGCACTAGCTGCGCGCGGCCGCCCCGCGAGCCGGGGCGTCACGTGACCAAGAGCTCGGGGACGGCTTGGAGAAGGGAACAGCCCGCACTGCGCCGCCAGAGGGGGCGATTTCTTTGGGGCCGGTGCAGGGAGGAAGCAGAGCTTAGAATCAAAACGTTTATTGGTGTGTACAAAAGTTTCCAGTCATAAAATGTATATTACAAAGTCGGGAAGGACCACACATTTGGCATGCATCTCCTCGAAACCCCACCACCTCCGAATCCGTGCAGACAGCCCGCTAGGTGCCGGACTTAGCGGCGTGGCAGTGACGGCGAAGGACGTCGCGACTCGACTGGGGGGGGGGGCCCGATGGTCGGACCCGCCGCCGGGTGCTGGTCGCGCTCACCCGAGTGGGGCCCGGCCCTGGGGGCGCCCTCCCGGGTAGACAGGGTCCACGCTGGAACTGTGCTCTGGGTTTATGCAAACAAACCCTTCCACTTCGTTCCAAGCGCCTGACGCTAAGCCGACCTGAAGACCAGGCCAGCCAAACTGGATTTTGCTATTTCCAAATACCCCAACACAGATGACCCCCACCAGCCTCCACTCCCTGACCCGGCCCCAGGTTAACCCCTCAATCCCCGCCAGCTAAGGGCACCCCCAGTGCGTGCAGTACTTCCCAGCCACAACCCAGGCAAATGGCTTGGCCCTTGGCCGATACCCCCAGTGTGTGCAGTACTTCCCAGCTGCAACCCAGGCAAATGGCTTGGCCCTTGGCCGAGAGAAGCCCCCAGGGACACCGCCGCTTTGCACTCGGTGGGGTGGGTAGAAACCACTCCCACCCCCGCTCCCAGGGCCCTCCTGTAAGACTATGGCAGGAAATCAGGACCCCAGTCCGAACCCCACTCCGAAGGCTGTGCTGGGCGCAGCAAAGCCGTCGGTGGGCCCATGGAAGGCCCGGAAGCCCCCCGTGGGCACCAGGACGAGTGGCGCAGTAGCCTGTCTGGACCCTCCCCAGCCCCAGCAGGAAGTGAGCCCATGGCCTGGGGACTTCTGAAAACAAGGGCAGCAGCTGGCTCCCTGGGGCCTGGGGCTCAGGCAGGGTCACCTGCTGGCCATGGGCAGGCCCCAGGAGAGCCTGCGGGGTGTCCTGCCGTGCCCTCCGGGCCAGCTCGCCCTGTGGCTCAGTGTTGGCATCTGTAAGACTCGAGCTGCACTCTCCGAAGGAAACCTGCCCTTTAGGGCTCACCGCTCGTGGAGGGAGGCTGGCACAGCCTGGCGCAAGCATGACGTGGAGGGCAGCGATGTGTACTGACTGATGTAAAAAAATAAATATTCGTTAAAAAAATAACTTCTGAGGGTCTACGTGATGGGCTGTAAACGTAAGCGCGTACAGAAGGGGGTCGCGGGGGGCCAGCGGGCGAGGGGCTGAGTGACATCTGCATGGTCTCACGAGCCCAGGTCCAGCGAGGAAGCTGCAGGAAAAGCTCTGGAAGCACGGCAGCGGCAGGGCCAAGGGGGGCTGAGGGCCCCCAGGAGTCGGTCTCCCCAAGGGTCAGGAGCTGGTGGCATCCCTCGTACAACTGTCCTTAGACTCTCCCAGAGGCACTTCCTCTGATCGTCCCCATGGCCCACGCTTCCTCCTCTGCCCGGTGGCCCCCCAGGCTGGGACCCAGGACCCCTACTGCCCAGCACCGGGCGGGGAGTGGTCGCAGACACTCAGGCCCGGGCTGCAGAGGGGGACGTGCCTCGGCCAGCGACACCTGCTGCGTGGCGACCGGTTCTGTGACAGGTGGAAGGTCTCCGGTTGCCCAGAGCTCAGCACCCAATCATGGCAGGCCCCTGGTCCCTGCCAGCCCGGGACGGGCTCTGGATTTGGTTTTAGAAAGCTTTAAAGAAACAGACCCCGCAACGACCAAACACCCACACAGAGCAGCAGCGGCCGGCCTGCTCGGGGGCGCCTGCCTCTGCCCAAGTCCCTCCGGGGTTCCTTCGAGGGCTCAAATTCAACCACACGGGGAACTGGGGCCAGGGGACAAAGAAAACGCCCTGGATAGTGGTTAGATGACAAAGGCAGGGTCCGAGGAAAGACAGAGCCACCCCCACGCTCGGGCAGTTTGCTTAAAAATTCTCTAGAAATGTCGAAGACTAAAGTCAGTGATAGAAAAGTAGCGCGGTCCTCAGGCTCGGAGGGGCGCGGGGCGGGCTCACATCACGCGGCAGCCTCTTGAGGTGGTCCTGGGGTCCCCCTGGAAGGAAGGGGGTGGTCAGGACGAGCCGGCGAGGTGGCTAGCCAGCACTGGCTGACCCAGTGCACCAGCCCAGGACCGAGTCACCGGACAACCGGCTCCAAACCAGGATTCGGGTCGGCAGCTGCAGCCACGGCTGTTTCCAGAACCTTTGGTATCTCCATTTCCCCACCTCAGGCTACACGTGTCCGGCTTTCATGTTCCAGAAACCAGAGCGTCTCCCAGTGTCCAGGCTGCCCCCTCCCCTGACACCCTTCCATGGGACAGTCCCTAGCCCGAGGAAGTGGGTAGCCCGGTGAGACCAGGCCAGCCTCTGCGAGGTCTGGGAGCCCCTACCTGCTGGTGGAAAAGGTCCTCCTCACCAAACTCCGCCTCCTCCTCCTCCTCTCCGCTCTCAGCCTCCCTCACCGAGGACCGCTTCACCACCCGCATGGCCACTTCCTGGGGGAGACAAGGACTGGCAGTCACCCCTGCAGAGCTGGGGACCCAGGCCTGGGGGGCCACGCCCCACACCCCACAGATGTCCTCAGGGGTTGGGGCAGCTCCCACCCGCCCCACGCACCTCTCCATTGGCGTTGACCAGGACGGTGCGGAAGCTCTCGCCCGTTCCCCAGCTGTCCTGGCTCTTCCACACCAGCGTCGAGGGGGGGCTGTGCGCCACCCCCGCACCCGCTGCCCACACCTGGGGACGCGAGGCCAGCCCCTGGTCAGTGCCCCGGGGACTGTTCCGCCCTTGCACCCCACTCTGGCTTGTCCAGGGCTAACAGTGCCCGAGGCGGACAGAGGGTCACAGTGGCCAGGGCTGTCTGCAGACGGTCGGAGCTGGGGGGCCCCCACCTTCCCCCACCCAACCCACCGGCCCGCCCACCCCACCCGCCGCACCTCCCCTCACCGC